TTTTATAGGACACAGTAATAATATTACCACTTTTAATAGAAATTAAATGTCTGGATAAAAGTAAGAAATAAAGATTTATCTCTAAAATATATAATTATATTGTTCATGGAACTTTCCTCCTTTTTAGGTCTGGATGCTATGCATATAAGGAGAGACTTTCTTTTGAGAACATCTCTGTATACATAAAGAATATAATCTTTGGGGATCATTACCAGTGAAATCTGAGTTGTTGGTAAATTGTCATTTCTAAAAGTGGCTATATATCTTGAAATAGGATTCTGTTCTACGAAGTTGGTGTTGACTTTTTTCTCCATGGTGATCTGTCCCCAACCTGGTCCATCAGGTCTTCCAATGGTGAATCCATTGTCACTGTAATTCAGTCCATCCACCTTGTCTTCTTCTCTTTCCTTCCACCTTTCCCAGCAATATAGACTTCTTTAGAGAGCTGGATCTGTGCATACTGTGTCCAAAGTGTGATCTGTCTTAAAGCATGCAGTCACTGAAATTCATTGTTCATTTAAACTCTTCCTGCTTCAGCTCAGAGAACTGCAAAAATGGAACAGCTTGCTCCTGAGATGTAAGCAATGTGTTGCTTATAACCACACACCTGTTATTTTCTACTTCCTCAACAATTGCAGTATTACTGTGATGTAGTATTCAGTGGTAGAATATATTATTTATTAACCAAACAAATGTATGTGTCCCCCCCATCTATCAGAGGAACTGTGAGGTGAACAAGGACACAAAAAAATACATTTCACAGAGAGTTCTATAGGTATTAATGTTGCACAAAATTTCTTTGTGATTTGCCCATCATCATGGCAACACCTAGCCCAGGGGTAGGCAACCTTGACTCTTTTATGACTTGTGAACTTCAATACCAGAATTCCTGAACCAGTCATGCTGACCCAGGAATTCTGGGAGTTGAAGTCCACATGTCAAAAAAGAGCCAAGGTTGCCTACCCCTGATCTAGCCAACCTCAAAAAGCTAAGCAAAGTAGGATATCCCAGATCAGTAGACTAGATTGCAAAGTTAAAAAAAAACAAAACTCATTTTCTTCCCTTTGCTTAAAAAAACCCTCCATGGGTGTCCTTACAAAACCATTAGGAATTATGCTTAAATCCTTACATTTTTGTGTTTTAAGAGTGTCTTCTCCAAAGTCAAGGTCCATGGGAATGTAATCTACTGGATCAGGCTCTGGAGCTTTGGGAAGCTAAAGATAGGGGATCTGGCTTGGCTAGCAATAGTTATGCAATCTAATATCTTGTTTTATGCTTCTAATTGGAATGTATTGCTGATTCTAATGATAAAAAGACTGCAGATCTCATGAAATAATGGAAGTTATTACAATAAATTAAAAGCCTCTTCTGCTGTTCAGGCACAGAATACTTTGTAAGCTACATAAAAGTTATTGCAGCAAATCAACCAACAAATTGTTCTAAATTGGAGAATAATAGAATTAAGTTTAGATGGTTAGAAGAAGATGGATCTTCCCATCTCCATATTTGTAGTAGTCAAAGGAAATCTGGATAACCCTTTTTGACCTGATATGTTGCAGAGGGAAAAAAATATACCTTTTTTCAAGATCAGAGACAATTGTATTGGCCTATCAGCCCAATAAGAAACCTTATTTCCTCTTATTCAAGGTTTACAGACTAGGTGTTAAACAGGATATAACCAAGGCCGATGAATAAAGAAGGAAGAGATGGTTGTAGTGACAATAAAGTAATCTAGTAATTGTAGAAGAACAAAAGGCCCAGCATGCTTTCTTTTTTCTTTCATCTAGATACAAATGGTCTGAAATATCTATAGGATAGAATTTCAGACAAATAAGATTCTGGTCCAAAATTCCAAGTTCCAACATATGTAGTCCAGATTCTACATCTGTTCTAGAAATAACAGTAAGAAATGTTCCCATCAGTCTTTGGTACAATTTAGCCAGAGCTCAGTATCTCAGTATATTAAAAGACAAACCATATACCATCTGAGTTTGATGTCTATAGCCTGCCCTTCTCAAAGCAAAGCAAAAACAACCACAAAAAAGTCTGCCACCAATGAGGAAATCCTGCTTCTCCAAATCTGATTTTATGATAAATCAGGAAAAAAAGTTATTTTTGTGCTTCTTTCAACTATCCCAGCTATTTTGTGTGGACTATCAAGAACGAGAAGAAAGTGAAGACATCAGGCAGCAAGGTGGGTGGATTCAATTACAGCAATGATGGGATTCAAAGATCTTAAGGGCTCCCTCCTGGGAAAAATCTATGTCCTCGCTGCGATTGACCTAGACATGCTAAATCAAGACTTGTTCAACCTGGGTGGTTTCCAGATGTGTGGACTCAACTCCAACCTTCAGTTTTCTGGCAAATGGCCACTGCCAAGTATCCTAGAGGTTGAAATCTGCATATCCTGAAGGGGGAGTTTTCTTACATAATGTGATTTATTTTGATGATGAAATGTGTGAAGTCATCCACCAAGCTTATCCAACTCTGATTTATAAAGTCTTGACTTAGTACAGTGTGTGTGTCTGAACTCAAGCCAGTTTGTTACAATACCTTAATTGGACAAATTCTGATTACAACCATAACCTGCCGAAAAACCAGAGCCAGACATGCAATCACCCCTCACCATCTGTGGCAAATGGGGCTTATGGTAGCTATCGTTTATTTGATACGGGCTTCACAGCTCCTTATAATTATTCCAATTCAAAGAGTAATTGCTCTCTTTGGAATAGTGTAAGACTCTTACTTGAGCAGGGGGTCTACTACAAGACCTCCAAGGTCCCTTCCAGTCTTATGATTCTAGGAAAAAAAGAGGACTGAATGTATAAGACTGAGGCATGGTTTCAGTCATTGGAATGGGGACAAATTTCTATTATCCACAATTGAGATTCCAAAAAAATAAGAGTGAGAATAAATCTTACACAAAATTAGCAGCTTTCCGATAATGAGCCATGGAAAACTTCTTGAAGGGTTGTGGGATTCCCAACAGAACAGTGCCAATACCTTTTTGTTCAGTTGACATAGGAAGGGCACTTTCCTTTCAGCCATAAGTGTACTGTAGTTTTACAGTACACCTACCAAAACTCCATAGGACCAGTAGATGGCAGTAAAGACACCGAAACTCTTTGTTGTCATCTAGTGGCTCTTCAGACTTTTGCAGCTCAGATCTTGTTAATATTCAGCTGTGTTGTGGTTGTTATTCTTATATGAGCACTATGATGACAGGGAAAAAAAATTAAGAGCTGAAGTAAGGGAAAAGCTGAGCAAGTGCAAAAGCTTGCTCCTGATGCTTGAAAGTGCTGTTTCAGATGACAGATTTGTGCGTTTTGCCAGAGGATCTTTTGAGAAACAGAACCTCCAAGGAACAGATGAGCTTTGCCTAGAAACATAGTGACATATCACATTGGCTGATATGTCATAGGACTATGTCCCCAACTTCTTTTTTGGTTATGTATGTAGAGAAACTACTTTAGTGAAACTCTTTTAACATTTATAAACATGAAGTGCAAGAGCACCTGACTGTCTCTATGTCAACTTGGAATTCATTGAGCATAATAAAAGATGGGGCACAACATGTTAAAGAAAAAAAATATCCACTGCTGGACAATACCTTGATTGGGACCAATCAAATGAAGCTACCCCCTCCCCATCTTTGTATATTAGGCCAAAGCCAATTTCTTATATTGGACATAATCCAAAATCAGATAGATGATAGATGAATAGACAGATGACAGACAGGTAGGTAGGTAGACAGACAGATGATAGATAGATAATGGATGGATAGATGAATATAAATGGATTAGAGAGAAGGGAGGGAGGGAATGTATAGGGCAGGGGTGTCAAACTGCCGGCCCGCCGGCTGGATGCGTCATGCTGAAACCATGCCCATCCCAGCTTCGGCAATGGGGAAAAAGTCGCAACACGTCATATGATGAGTTTGACACCCCTGGTATAGGGCAATGCCCTTAATGAACATCTTTTACATTCCTGTAGGTATTATTTGCCATAAATGAAGCAGCAAAAATAATATAGCAAATCTTTTGTCATAAAGATTTTCAGAAATAGGTAGCATATCATTTAATTGCTATTTATTTTCATAAACATGAGGTATTTCAAAGTGCTATAAAGATGCAGCACTAAATGTACATCATTGGAAGAAATTAAACACAGAACTTTGCAATTACCCAGTTCTATGCAACAAACATTAACAAATACATTAACTGGAAGAAACAGGCTAGGAAAAAAAGGCATATATAGTAAATTTCTTTACAAAAGTTTTCTTAGTCCAAAAAAGTGATAAAGTAATATCTACTCAAAACTTTCCACAACCATTTTCATACGAAAATATAAGTATCAAATTTAGTTATGTATCAGCATCATACTAAAGTATACAGGCAGTGTAAGAATTAGTACAGTACATAACAAGAGATTAACAATATATTTGTATACAAAAACATGCTCCTCAAACATTGAGGTATTACAGTACTTAGGTATGAACTTCCAGTCTAATATTGGTAGCAAAAGTCACCTCTCATAACCCAAGACGTGTACAAAAGGCAAACGTGTATATGGTATTTACACAGGTGGTTCCCTTCCCCCTGGGTATAATATGCTTCTGCCCCATAACACCTGTAAAACATAAGCACCATTAAAACGGAATGAATGTTTCCAACTCAACTGGATGTCATAAGCAAGTCCCAACGCTCACAACATTGCAAGAACACCGACAGTTCCAAGATGAAACACAAAGCCATTCCACCGTGGTTTGGTAGCCTCTTCAATTCCAGAGAAGGACATCCATCTGATCTTCCCTTCAGGTAACAAGGTGGTGTCATCTACGCAAGAGACGGGATTGAAAATAAAACCAACATTCTTAACGTCAAAAAAACATAGCTCTCTTTAAGGAATCAAAAATGTGCAAAGTGGCAATAGCTGTCCAGATCAGACAAATATATATAGATATAAAGGTCAGGTGTTTGTTTGTTTTTTTAACTCCCACATTAGCAAGTCTGCATATGTTCTAATTTTTTTATCAACTGCTGTTGCCTGATTTGGAGTTTTTCCTTTTCCAACAACAACTTGTGCTCCTCAGCCTGCAGGGAATGGACATACTCAGTGGCTTTTTTCAAGATGACCACTTTGGCGGCCTTCTCATTTTTCACCAGTTCAGGCACGTGGTCCCTTAATGTCAGAAAACTCGACCTCAGATCGTTACGCCGCTGCCGTTCCAAAATGTTGTGGTTGCGTCGGCGCTCGCTGTCCTCTGAATCCGAATTGCGAGGACTGGAGCTCTTGGGCTTTGGTTGGGTCACTGGCTTTGACGGACGAAGCGCTTCGTTTTTTAGCTTTTTGGGCGGAGGCACATCTTCCCTCTCGATGTAAGGGGAAGGCGCGGCGTAGTTGTGCTGCTGGTGGATTGGGGCACAGCGCTTTAGGATGATCTCACTGGGCTGAGTTCTCACGGAGGCAAAGGGAGTGCTGCTCTTGGGACGCATCGCAATGGTCAGGGTGGTGATAGCTTTGTAGGAGGAAGAGCGCCTCTTCTCCACAGTGACCACATCAATTTCTTCCTCATCGTCCTCTTCTTCCTCATCTTCATCTTTTGTTGGAAAGAGAAAAAAGGTCAAGACATTACAATCCCAGGGAAGCATACTTAAGACTCAGACATTCTGTATTAATTAGCAAAGACCAATGGACAAACTCTTAGAAATCTTAAAGCAAAAAGGCAAACAGGAACAGGGCAGCTTCCAGATATAGAATACATCTGTATACTCAAGCCACAGATACATATTCCATACATATTCCATCAAGCTATCAACAAAGGAGACATAGTTAGTTAAATGAGTCCTATGTCATGGTCGAAAGGAGATCAGAAAGATATTCAGGCCAATAAGTAAATAAAATTGCAACCCAACTGGTTATAGGATAAAAAGAGCATAAAGAAAAAGAAACCCCTTAATCTGGATTTTATGGAATTGTTCTATTGAATTGAATTGCATGGACAAAATTGATTCACAAGGCAGATATAACGCATTCAGGTTAACATACCTTCTCATTCACATATACTCATACTCCCTCTCTCTCACACACATACACAGTGAGTGTGGAGAGAGGGAGGGAGGGAGGGAGGGAGAGAGATGAAACCTCTCCTGGGACACATTCCATTTCTTTGAAAAAGGGCTAGAAAACTAAGCAATTGTTCTCCCTGAAAATGCAAAGTGGTCCCAGTTGCTCAGGCCCTTTAAGCCAAAGTTCTGGTTTATTGCCAAGAAGACAGCTGTTAGGAGGAAGCCTTCTTGCTGAAAGCTGTCAAGCCTCAGACTTGAAGGAGGCAGTGACTCTTTTGAAACAGGAGGCTGATCGTCAAGTTTATGATTATGGTCATATGGCTCCTCTCATTTACAGACAAGAAACTGTTTATTGTCACCCTGGATTCTCCTTCCTACTCCACCCCTAGAGATTATAAGCATTTTGCTGAATTTAAAGCCAGCATTCTATATTTGGTTCCATTTAAATACCCCAAGCCTGCTAAAGCCTCAAACAATTTACAGAGCATTCGTTTTGAAAACTTATTAAATTGCAAAGTCAACCAGCAGAAGTCATTTTTTTGCTGAAAGAAGCCTGTTTGGTCTAATAGTCGATAAAAGTACCATTTTGGACAATAATAATAAATGCAGTAACAGTCGTGTGGTGCTTAACATAGTGATGCTGTGGGTTTTTAAATAGATTTCATTCATCCATCATCAACATTCAAATGTCTGGAAAGGGACAAAATGCTGGGAGGGAGTCCAGTTAAGTAAACTTTTTTGATGATACTCACCAGGGAGAGAAAAACATACTGCCATCTACTGGCAAGGTTTTGCAACACATCTAGGAGGGATTTAACGAAAAGTCTAGGGCTTGTGCTAGTTTTGAACTTTAGACTATTTTCAAAAATACAACTGGACTATAATCTACACAGTATGCCTTTATCCAATCAGTGCAGTTGCATTATGTATTCTGCCTTTACCCAGCTCTTAGACGGAGGGGTTACTTCATTAATGTTGGCTCAGTTTCATTCTACCAGCATTTTAAAACCCATACAACTGCAGAAACATCTTACTAAGTTAACAGCAGTTTCTTTCCTTATCCACATCTATCCCATTGCTTCTTTAAATCTGCCTCTAATAAAATTTGCTGTTCTGCAGTGGACAATTCCCTCTGCAAACAGAAGCCACCAACCTCCTTCCCTCCTTTTAGACTCAGTGGTCAAACCCCCAAAACCACTGTGCTCTTAAAATTTATATTCTTCAGTGGATGCTGCACCGTACTGTTTGTAGGTGTGGAATTGTAGAGAAATCTGGCTGTGGAAAGGAATGGCAATGAAAACAACATGCTCTTCCCATCTTCCATAAGGTCCTTGGGAGACATCTGATGGTGTATCTTAGGCCCCTAATTTCCTACTACTATCTTTGTTGGAAAAGATGAAAAATGCCCCCCAAAACCCCACCTACTATGCTTTTTTTTATTTTGAAAGACAAGCAGATCTTATTGGTTCGAGTCCCCATGAAACCTCCTACCAGTGCCCACACATAACAAAGGATGTGGTTATTTACCAGAATCACTGAGTGTGTCGTCTCCCGAACTGTTGTTGGCCCGGTTGTCACTAGTTATACTTGGGTGGTGGCTGCTTCGGGGTGAAGGGACTGCTACCCCTTGAGCCAGGCCACTGCTGCAGTTCAAGCTGACCCGGGCCCCTGCCACTCCTCCGCCTCCTCCTCCGGAGGAGACCGGGGCTGGGAGATCTGGCTTCTTAACGGGGAAAGGGAAAACCACGGCTGGATCCACACACTCCGACACGGAATTGTTGAGCTCTGCTTGGCTGCCGCTATTGTTTCCAGGGCTGGTTTTGGAGGGGTGGGCAGCTGGGGGGATGGCGGAGCCAGTTGGGGCAGGCGCTCCAGCTGTTCCTCCTTTAGTCTGTGGCTTCTCGGTGACTGCCCTTTCCAGTTTATCACTGGTTCCAAAGCCGCTCCACATACAGTCCTGAATAATGATGGCGTTGAGGTTGCTGCTTTCTCCCAAACCCATCTCGAAGGAATCTCCTCCATCGCCACTGCCCCACAGGTCAGCTTCGGGAGGCAGCAGCAGCAACTCGGATGCCCAGTCCAGAGGGTCGCTGGTTCGGTATCCCCCTAGAGCCGTTCCTCCCCATGATACGGGGGCTCCTCCTGGGGGGTTCTCCTGCAGACCCGCCGGGCTGGGAGACAGAGGAGGTGTAGGCAGTAGCTCAAACTTTTTCCAGATATCCTCCCCCGGAGGAGCAGAGTCGGGACCGCACAAATAAAAATCATCTTCGTCTGGATAGAAGCAGGGCTGCAAAGAGTCGAATTCGAGATCGGAATTTTTACTGACCATCCCTGGCATCTCCGCTGGTGGCTTCAGCCGGGATGCTTAATTAGGATATTACAACTGAAGAGAGAAATGTTTGCTTCCCACTGGGTGAGAAAAGACACCCGGTTCCTAGCAGAACCTGAAATTAAGCAGGAAAGGGGGGGGGGGGAAGCACAAATTAGATTTTAAAAGGCAGAAAGATACACCTACTCCATGCAGATCCATCATTATAAGCCTGGGCTTCTTTTCTTTTTGAAACCAGAATGATCCCCCCCCCATCAACATTTCAATGAAAGAGTCTTAAGCCCAGAGAAAGAAACATTATTACCCACATCCCGTGCTTACTTACTCCTTTCTAAGAAAGAAAAATGCAGAAAAATCTTAACAGGATCGGTTGGGCAAGAAGGGCAGAAGCCTCCACACCCTCCTCTTCGTAGAAAAAGGGGTTCAGAGCCTTCCCAGATGCAGGAAAAAAATATTCCTTCAGCATTTGCCCTGCAGAAAAAGCCTGCTGGCTATTCCAAGCAAAAGTAAAGAGGAAGTTTCTTCCTCCTTTTGTCATCTGTAGTCTATGCAGGAGAGGGAAAAGGAGGACGGCGGCGGATGTTTAAAAAAAAAAAAAAACAGGGAGGGGGGAGAGGCGCTCAGGGCTACTTTTGCAAATTGCCATTCCATTCATTCGCCAGAGCGCTTCCAGAAACCCACACACGCAGAGATAGGAGGAAGGGGAAAAGGGGGGGAAAAAGGAAGTCACCCAGCCAAGGCAGCATTATGCAACAACAAGGAAATTCACACGCGCGCACCGCCGCCACTCACCCGGACCGGGGTAAAACAAAAACACAAAACACCTTTTATAAGATACTGGAAGATTTTTTTGTCCGCGCGCGGGCGCTTGCAACACACGCGCAAATGGGGAGGGTGGGAGGAAAAGAGGATGCCACCGGGATGAAAAAAAGAAAAGGGGGGGGGTGTTCGCTTTGCTCTTTTTTTTTTTTTTACACACACACAAGACGTTACTTTTTCGAAAAAGAAAGACTGCCATTTGCCGACCTATATCCCATTGTTCCCCGTCCCGAAACCCCAAAGCTGTTATCAGACCCACAACCGGCCGGCTGGCGGGCGGGCCACCTCATCCTCAGGATCGCGCGTAGTAGTAGTAGTAGTAGTGAAGCCGTGAAGTCTGCAATGGGCTGGGCAACTTTTTGCTACGGCCAGCCGCGCCGGAACGACCGGAGACAAACCGGGAGGGCACGAAAGAAGCGAGCTTTGGGCATTTTACCGAAACGGCCGCCGAGGATCGGTTAACAACCCTCGCTCGGAAATAAATAATAATAATAATACAAAGCTTTTCTCCCCCATCGAGGAAACGCGCGCGGCGGATAACACACAAACACACACAAGGCAAAAAAAAAAAAAAAAAAATCTCCCCAAACAGCAGCCGCGATCCCAGCTGCTCTCGCTCGCCTGCCCCGCCCCCCCCGATCACTCTCACTATTGTACGGTATTTTTACTCTCCCGTTCAAAAGCCGTATTAATGTGCTATCAAGACATTGGGGCGCGGGGGGGGGGGAGAAGAGGGAGGCGAGGAGAAGCCACGGAAAGGCACTGAGAACATCAGGGCAGATGCAGAAAGGTTCTAGCGACCGCAACATCGGAGGGGGGGTGGTGGTGTTGTTGTTACTCCATTGGCTTCTGATGAATGAAACCCAAGCAAATTGCATGGATCACAATTCTTTCCTTTTCTATCCCGAGGGTGGCACTGAGATCTCCCCGATCCTCCTTTTTTTTTCTTTCACACCCTCACCACCCCCCCACCCTCAAATTTTCTTTTCTTTTCCCCAAAGGTTTTGCATCCCCTTGTCTTCTTACCTCCCGGCTGGCGGCGGCGGTTGCAAGGCAGAGGGGCGGTCGCGGGAGCAGAAGGGGCTTGAATTAATGCAGATGGTCGTCTCCAATCTAGGACTTTAAAGAGCGCCAGAAGACCGATCGCCCCCCTCCCAGCCAGTGTTAAAACCTCTGCATTCACCCTGCGCTTGCAGACAGATGACTGTCACTAAGTGGGCTTTGAACCTCTTGTATATTATTAACTAAAAAAAAAAAAAAAAAAAATTCCTGACACACCCGAGGAGGAAAAGGGGGGCGAACGAGCGAGCGAGCGAGCGAGCGAAAGAAACTTAACCCCACCTCCCTGATTTCCATAGAGCCAGGGGAGGTGCCAGGCATTTGGCGCCAAAACCCCTTTTGCTACTGCCTCTTTATTCTTGGGCAGGAGACGTAGAGGCTTTGCAAAAAAAAAAAAAAAAAGGGGGGGGGGAAGAGGAATGCAAAGTGCCGCGATTGCACTCCCCGCTGGGTTTACTCCGCTGCCACCGGCTGATTTTGGGCGGGTCGCGCACTTTGCGAAACTGCCCTCCCCCGCCTCCCTTTCTCCTTCCCTCCCTCCCCTCCGTTTGCTGCAATGGCAACAACCGAGGCGCTGCCTCGTCCGAGCCTGGCTCCGTGATACCCCGGGAGGAAACCCCTGCAGAAACCCCCGGCGCTTGTCCTTCACCCCCCCCCCCCACCTCCCCGCCCCTTTCCCCAGTGCCCTCCTGTTGCAGCCCGACGCTTTCTGCAGGGGAAGCAATCCCGGGGTCATCCTGCTCGTCTCATTTACCTAATGGTTTCCGTTCGGGTTTGAAATGTTGCAGCCGATCGTTAAAAAGCAGGAGGAGGAGGAGGAGGAGGAGGGAGGCAAGACCAGATGGACGGGGATGGGGGAGAAGAACCATAATTACAGAGATTGGGGGAGTCCTGGGCGCGAGTAGTAATGGATCTAGAATTGCGCAGCAAAGCAGCGTCTTTGTCCAACGGGCTGCCCGAAAGGCTCAGGCGCGGAAAACGGGGGGCTGCCGATTCATAAGGCCAATTAGAGAAGCTTCCCCGGATGTGTACATCCTTGGTTGGACCCCCCCACACACACACACACACGCCCGCCTTTCCCCGCTACCGTAACGACACCGTCTGGAGAAAGACCGCGCCGGCCTTGCACGGCGCGCCCCGGCTTTGCTCTGCAAAAGGCGACACCTTGCGGATGTCCCCCTCCACCCCCGATGGAGGAACGGAGCCGGGGCTGAAGGTAGATAAAGTAGGGCGGCCGAGGATGAGGGGGTCGCTCGGCCGTCCTCCTCCTCGAAAAGTTCCAGGGGTTCGCTTTGTGCCCCGCGGTTCAGAAGAGGAGTGTGCAAAAAGAAACTTTAAAAGATGGGCTTGGGGGGAAAAAAATAGTTGCTAGGCTTGGTGTGGGCATCTGAATAACTCTTTTGAGTATGTATTGGAGGGGCGGGGGGGGAGGAGGAGGAGAACATTTCCCAAAACGCATAGGTCAGGAGTTAAAAGTAAGACAGGTCGAATTCAATTGAGTGAAAAGCAAACTGGATTTGGTCAAATGTAGTTGGCATCATTCCTCTCAGGGCATTTAATTGTCCCCATTATCATAAATATGTGGCAACTTTTACAGAGGGGCCCACCTTTGCTTTCACTTGGAGTCCTGGTGGCTCAGGATCGGCACCCATGCTATGGACATTTCCTTGGGAGTAAACATTATGGAAAAACTTAAGGTTGGTCTTCATAAGACAGAACTGCAGATTTAAGGCAGCTGAGGCCACTGTGGGGTTTGGAGTTCAAAACAGCACAGGGAAAGGGTGGAGTTTTTATAAGAGTGCTCACATCCATGGAGGCACTTAAAAAAAACTCCTTATTTACAGCACCAGACCTTAAGATGCCCATGGACAAAGGGATGTCCTCAGGGCCATATAGCAGTTTAAAATGAAACACTGTCATAAATTTAGACACCAAACATATCTATACCTGCTATTAGAAGTGCTTGAGCAAAAATATTTCCGGCAGCTAACACTACTCAATCCAGTTGTTTTACACTGAACCAACTGGAGTTGCTAGGGCAATTGTGATCCCGAATGGAGTACTTTACAGCTTAGGTCAGTGGTGGCGAACCTATGGCACGCGTGCCAGAGGTGGCACTCGGAGCCTTTTCTGTGGGCACATGCGCCGTCACCCCAGCCCACCTCCCGCAGCCCCATCCTCACCAGCAGCCCCCCTGGAGGAGAGTCCCCCTTGGGCATAGCCCGCACGGAGCAGCGCAGCCAAGGACATAGCTGGCAGCAGGGACAAGACTCCGCCCTTGTGCCCCGTAGCGTGCAGATGATGCTGCGGGGTGTGGGCGGAGGGCGTGGTTGCCATGGCGCTGCAGGGCTGCCTGGGCGATCTGCTGCAGTGGGCCATGGAGGCGGTACGTGGTCCTGCGGGTGGGCGGGGCAGGGGGTGGGGGGTGCAGCAGGCAGGGCAGGAGGCGGAGCGGGGATGGGGGGCAGTTTTGGGGCATTTGGTCTCTAAAAGGTTCGCCACCACTGGCTTAGGTATAAACCATCACTGTTCAAATGTAATAAAACTTCCCACTAAGAGAGCTATCAATATGTTTGAAGCTGATAAAATGTCATTTCTAGCTTCTACTGTAGTGGAAGGACACTAGTGCTCCTGATTTAAAGCCCTAGATGACATGTTCACTTCCAGCATATAAACTGGCCTCTTAAGTGACTTTGTAGAAATATATGAAGCCAAAGTTTAACTTGTTGTATTGAGACTTGAGCTTTTCTTTTATATTCACTTATTTTTACCATTGATTTAATAATTTTTCTTTTTACTTCGTTTTGTTAATGGCTTTTTATTTTTATTTTTAAATTTTCTTTTTTCTTGATTTATACGAATACCAGGTTTTTTTAAAAAAAAATCTTTTCTAGATATTGTTTCAGAATACTTAATAGGCTGGACAGAGACTTCTGTTTAGCCTTTTTTTTCTCCAGCTTTTAAATCTGAGAACAGATTATCACCACCAGTACATATTTTTTTCCTTTTTATTCATGCAGAAAATCTGGCTTCGGTGGTGAGAGACTTGACAGGTGCTGCAGTCTGCATGTAGCTTTGTGTTAAATTGCACACATTGCAAGACCATCATGTGTGTAGGCTGGTTGTGCCAT